ATACTAGGAACACAGTCTTCAATCAGTTTCCCATGAAAATCACATTAGGAACATCATTTTTCCCATTGTTATCAAACCCTGGGCGAACCTGTTATCTCGAAGCCATATGGGTCTTGTATTAGATCATCTTATACGCTAGCATAGACTCCATTGCGGTTAAGGTTAGCTATAAACTTTTAATGGATGCTGTTTCAACTCGAGAAGTGTTATGATTTGCCGCGGACTCAGAACTCAGCTGCTCAGACATACTAGAGGGGAAAGCAGATTATAGCAATACTTATGCAACAAGGCAATAATTCGATTACTGGCCTTAGCGTTGTCACAAAGCTCAAAATAAAGGGGCAAATGGGACAGGCGTAACAACTTGAGAAGTTGCAATACTCACAACGCTCTAATGCACACGTATCACGTACGGCTACACATACACGGCTCTAGTTTGTTTCCTAGAATGATTCAGTCTCTGTGGGGGAAAATTTTCACATGTATTTGTGACAAATACATGAAGATTCTGAGGAAATTTTGCCAAATTCTCAGTGGTTTTTGCACAGTTATACCCGAATCCATATAACTAGTGGGAAATTCCTGTGCTCAGCTGAGGAGAGCGAACGTATATGCGTCCAATACTAGATTCGGACGTCTCCACTACATTGATAATGATCTACTGAATCTATCTTAAATTTATGTATAGACTTGCCAGTCGGTAGGGTTAGATAACATAAAGCTCAACACGTGAGAAAGGCGTCTCGAAGTTTATTGGTTTTGTACGGAGCTTGCTTGCGTCGCTTCCCCAGTGTTTAAAGCGCGAGTTAGCGAGATCGTAGTCAGAGTTTCATATTCCGATGAACTCTGTCTCTCGGTGTAAACCGTGCGTGATCTCGCCTCGTGATATGTTTCTCGTGTCACGTGACGTGAATCCGGCTAGGGCTACGTGTCCAACCCTATCTCGGGTGCTCTAGGTCCTGAGAAGAATTGCTTCACTCAGACAGATAGAGGGGTTGAGCCTTCCTAGTGCTTCGTCTTTTTGGGCGTGCACACCATTCACTGTACGGGGCTCGTTTGTTAGCGTTGCTTCCTGCTCCCCGGGACTCTCTATTTGAAAGTACTCAAGAATTAATTCCCTAATTTTTTACATCGTGATCTTGATAGACTATAGCTTTGCGCACGGTTTTCCGATAATTACGAATGCCTTCTGCTTGGTTTCTCGTGAGTCTATTATTTTCAATATTCCTACTGAGCTTAGTTACTTTCAGGAAAGTTCTCATTGATATTTCCGTTCAACGCGACGGTTGAGACTGCGTCTTTACAGAGTGAGTCAACCCAGTTGTGCATGCGTGCAAGTATTGTTATACTGTTAGGCACTACGGCATCGTCGAAAGGCTTTGATAAACTATTGCGAACTCTCGTGTCACATCTTGGGAGAATCGATAGAAGAATACAGAAGCGTATCAGAGATTTTGAAACGGATGTAGGTGGGTGTCGGAACTTATGGTTGGTTATCTCAGCTCAGCTCAGGAATTGCTGCCTCAGTACATTATGAAAAATTTAAGGAAAATTTTAGAAAAATTTCAGAAAATTTTTAGAAAATTTTTAGAAAATTTTATTTTTGTTGTTATTAATACACATATTCCCACACTGGCAAGGAATGAATCGCTGATAACGCGGTTCGTCTCGGCCTCGGAATCTCGAAAGATATTCGTGAGTTTCACGTGGAACTATTGAACGATTATTATTAAACCCACTACTGTGAATACACGTTAGGATAGGGATAATTTGACTCCGTACGATTTCATTGCCTGATTGAACACTTTGTTATTCAGGTTTCTCCAACACGTGAAATGTTCGCGGTCGATTCGTACTTGCACTTTGCATTCCTCAACGCGGCCAAACAAGTATCGCGCTATAATGGTTTGCACGCATGCCCAAACGTGTCGTGACGCGATTCTTACGGTCCCGCTCATTGCCAACGCAGTGTGGGACTGGATGATAGTCTCTCGAGTGTTCCCCGTCTCCCTGGCTCGTGTTTTCCAATGGGAGCCCTTCGTCGGGTAGTTTTATCAGGGCAATGATGCAGTATAGGAGCTCAGCGGCATTTAGAAAATTGTGCCACGAGTATACAGTGTGTGCCAATTAGATACGCAAATGTGGAGAATGTGTGTTTTTTCTATTCCGAGATTAATGATAGTGAACAACTTGTCGCTATCATGGTCTCGAAATGTTACTATTACTACATCACATGTTCATAGCAATGTTTACATTGGTCGTACTATATGGTTTTAGAACGGTTATTATTAATCTCGGAAAATAACGCGCCTTATTTTCATCTGCATATCAAATTGACGCCCGCTGTAGAAGCACATGTGAACGTCTCGAACGAATTATGCTACATCATCATCAGCTTGGAGGTTTCTATAATTGATTCTCATCATCATACTATCACCACTCTACCATGCCCCTCCCTACCACGATGACAGCCAACAGATTTGGCTCGACCCGTTCATCAGAACCCCTGTTGGGCAGGAGTCAGTCAGTCCCAGTGGAGTCTCGTATGACACCATTGAGGAGGGCCGCCGAGCCTCCTGTCATCGACCGTTTGTTTTCCTCGCCTCTCGAGCAATACAAACGGTTTGGTAAACGACCAGTTGCCATGGGTATCAATCTGATGCTGGCAGTGATTACGTTAATCGTCGCGGTCGAGTTTATCGATGTGAATGTGCGTCATGCATCGCAGTCGTTGCGACACTTCTACGGCATTCTTGTTGCTAGTAGCGACAGTCCACAGGAGAACGGTGGAATGCACAACAGGGAGAAAATTATTGACTCGCAAGTTGACCTCGCGAATTCCCTAGTACGAATTGCAAAATCCTCAACGACAATCTCGGCGAGTGCGACGAACCAGTATGAGCTCATTGAGTCCCCCGTTGATAATGATGATGCTCTGAGGCTTATGGTGAAGTTTGAAGACTCCAAAGATCTTGTACGGTTCACTCTGGCTAATTCTACTCATCTTGACAGAGTGCTGAGTACTCTCAAGAACAACCCGACGTTTGCCCTCCTCGGACGAGATCGGTTCTCATCAGTGGTGACACCTATGAAGATCCGTGACACGCAATACAGGGGCTCCCACTCGTGTTTAGAGTGGTCGTTGTTACCGACATATGCAGAGAACGGCGATGGTCAGCTATCGTTGCGTTTACACTATCACGTCTATAGTTGTTCTGGTGTGCATCTCAGCACCTGGGCTATATGGGCGTTGTTGACGATGCTAGTCTGTGCACTCGCAAGCGCAGCAGTGAACGTCTTAGCTTTGGGTTATCGTATTAAGGTCATTCATACCTTTTTGAAAGACTCT